CATTTTATAAACAAATCATGTATATGTATTACTACATCTATGTGTACAAATAAACTACACACACTAACTACCCACACAAATATGCAATGAGAATAAATTTTATAATACTCGTGAACATGCTTCTAGAGAAATTGAACATTTATGGGTTACCTAACAAGCTAAAACTGTTGTACTTTCACACATGAAATAAGGATATATAGTTACATACAAACATGCATTAATTCTTGAAGCATATAAGGATACACATATTGTTTTATTGTAGCACATTTTAACGAAAGTTTTTACATTTGTCTACACCAGCTATAGTATTGCATGCCTAAACACGGAGTATAGAATACACATTTTAAACCGATTAAGTGACATAATACAATCAACCTGTATGAAAAACAACAGTAACAAAATTATAAATACACATTTCAGTCCATTTCGGTGTTCTTGTCTTGACATGATTGTGAGCTATTTTTTGGCATTGAATATTACAGATTTCAAAGACTCCGTTTTTGTCAAAGAATGATAGTTTAGCGTTTGTGATAGTCTTAGAAACATATAATTTTCCTCAATCATGAAATTTCTAACCGCAAAAACACTTCCGTCCTTGAATAGACCCTGAAATTTAATAATGAATTCATCAAGAATCTATGAGTGGATCTTTGATTCCTGCAAAATTTAGAGTAAGTAGGGTCAAAACAAACAAATATATAATCAACTTGTATGAAAAACAACAAAAGCAACAAAATTATAAAAACACATTTAAGTTCATTTTGGTGTTCTTATTTGGACATGATTGTGAGCTACGGAGTATTGTTTTTGGCGGAGTAAATTGAATGTTACAGATTTCAAAGACTTCACTTTTTTTAAAGAACGATAGTGTAGCGTTTGTGGTAGTCTTAAAAACATATAGTTGCATGCCCACTGCCCAACTATAAATAGCCTTGACTATGCAAACTCAAAACATTCCTTCCTGAAGGTAACCCAGAACATTGCCTCCTTTGGATGAAACTGCAGAAATGAAAGGGATGAAATGGGCATGAATGAGTTTTGTAGCAACTCAAAACAACAAAAGGCTATTTATAGTTGGGAGTGAGCTTCGGGATATACTATTATAAAATTAAATGGTAAATTGTCATCTGATTGTCTTTTTTTTTTTGTAGAGCATGGGGTGCAAGATCCAGATAGCAGTTTTTTATTAAATGGCAACAGTTCAATTCAAGAGCAGCACCGTATATTTTTGTAAAGCACTATTTGAAATATCTTTTTGATTCCCACTATTTTTGGTTTTTTGTATTTGTTTTTGTGAACATGTTTAGAATTACTGTGTTGTCCATGTATAGAAATACTGTGTAATAAATGTGTTGTCCTTGCTAGCTGAAAAAATGGAGAAAGTCTCACGTGAATGGGGGTGACTGCTCAGCCAAGAAACATACCTATAATTTACATCACTGTTTTCTCGCAGCATTACAATAAGGTAGACTTAATTTCTCTTTTATTTTTAGTTTTCACTGGTCATTTTTCCGATTGCACTCCATTTCTTGCGCTCCATGAGGTTGTACTGTTCGTAATTTCTTATTTGTTTTAACTTTTTTGATATTTTTCAGACTCTTTTTTTTGTTATTTCTATTGATGTTGATAGTTTTGAGCGGGAATCCTGTAGCAAAAAGCATTTTGCTTTTAGATATTAATAGAAGATTCCAAATATTCGAGGTTCCGGGTGTCCTAAGGATTGAACCTGTCAACGCATTTGAATACCTAAAGACAAGAATATAAATACAAATTTCTATACTCAACTAGAATACAAGTTTGACACAATTATAAACACGTGTGTCTTAATCCCATTCATGATCGTTTAAAAGCCAAACACCAAGCCTTTTGAACTGCGGCTACAATTCACGATCATACAGGTAATTCCTTTATTCATGTACCTCCTTATATTTTATCAAAGGAATTATTAAAAAATAAATTCAGTCTTTTCTACAACAAATCCGAACACACACTTTAAGATGATTTCCTTGTGTGTTTCAATCCATATCCTATAGGTATTGAATGACCTCAAATATATTGATGACCTCAAATATTGAGTGGATCGACTACTCGCTCTAGTGGAGCAGCTGATTAAGCTAATAAAGGAAGGATGGCGATCTGAGTGTACGTGTGGAAGTGTAGCCCCTATATCCTACATCCGGATGTAGGTACATCCAGCCCAACTGACGAAGACAACACATTAACTATAACAACTCAATTTTTTCGGTGACATTTTTGTAATTTAACTGAAAAATCACGACTTCCACTAAATGAGCATTAGTGTACTTGTAGTGAGTATCTAACATATTCTATTGAGTATTAGGAGGTTAACAATGAGCATCATAATCTCTGTTTCATATCCTCTAATTCAATTTGTTTTTCTTTTTTTTCTTTTATAAAAACTTATTAATTTATATCTATAATACACTCCAATGATTTTCAATATGAATTTAATGTAATATGATACTTTTGAAATACGCATTGATATGACATTTTAAAATGAGCATAACATCAGTACCAAATGAGCATACGTAAATTACAAAATATATATTCATTGATATGAAAATCGTAAGGTTTGTTAGTTTAACATAACAATTTTCATTGAGTATCAAACCTCCTCTATTGAGATGAAAATCACGATTTCTGTGAAATGAACATTAATAAACTTTAAAGAGCATCGGACCTATTCTTTTGAGTATTATTGAGCATCATGAATTCTGTTTCATAACTTCTAATTCATTTTCTTTTTCTTATTTTTTCTTTTATACTTCCTCCGTTTCTTATTTAAGTTCCCAGTTTGACTTCACACATATTAAGAAAATGAATTTGACTTTACTATGGAGTGCACTGTTTGGCACTGTTTGGCACTGTTTTGCACTGTTTTGTTTCCTAAAATGGAAGTGTGAATTTAAATAAGGGACATCCCAAAAAGGAAAGTGGGAACTTTAATAAGAACCGGAAGGAGTATACTCCCTCCGTCCCACAATGGATGGCCAATGTTGACTGGCACTACAAATGAGGAGAAACGGTAAAATGCTTTGACTGGACTAGAATGCCCTTTAGAATGGCGAAAAGAAAGGAAAGGTGCAAGTATAAGCAGTACAATCAAAAGCAAATACTCCGAGTGCTTATGAACAGTACACATACATAGTGGAAAGCTAAAAGGCTGATTTGACAGTAAATTAAAGTACACATCACTTCCTGAATTGCAACTTGGAGCCAAAAAGGAGGAAAATATGAGTACTTCATAAACCATTCCTTTGGCGGGTAAACAAAAAGCAATTTTAAAAATTTTACTTTTCCCTCCATTACACCATAAATATTCCCTCCATTACAACATCATAAATATAGAAGCTGCTGAATCAAAGAATACCCATCTACCCAACAAAATGAACATCAATGCTCATCCTCCACTCCCACTGGACACCATGCACTGATTTGCAGCTATATATTCCAGCAGCTCATGAAACACAACAAAGAGACATTATTAGTGCTGTGACACAGAACCGAGGTAAATATCATGTCTTGAATTATGAGGAAAAAAACAATGCAGTGAATGCCCTTTTAGAAAAATCTGTGAATGGGAAGCTTAAAGGGGGTGTAATACAAGCAGTGGCTAATGAATTTAATGTGTCAAGGATAACAATTTCTACCATTTGGCAGCGAGTGCAAACACAATTGAAAAATGGAGAAGAAATTGATGTCTCATCAAAGTTGAGGGGCAATGTAGGCAGAAAGAGAATTCAGTTAAACTTGGAGCAAATTAAAACCATCCCTATTCATAGGAGAAGCACCCTACGATCACCAGTGGCGGAACCAGGACTCGTGACTCACAGGGGCACAATAACAAAGAAATCATATACTAATCTAGAAAAAAATCATATGCATCACGAGTATAGCAATAAACAAAACTATAAAATTTAAATAAAACCACTGTTTTTGGAATGATCTGTTGCACCCATTAAAATCACTTTGTGGAAATTTAAAGTCACGCGGTTGGCAAGGACCTTTTCTCAAATAACGTCTCCTCAACTCATCTCTGATATTAACATCGTAAGTCTCAATCGGCATAACTTTTCTGTCCGAACGCTGTCACAACACCGGCGTTTGGGGCGGTTCCCGGCGGAATATTTTGATGACAATTTTTGAGCATGTTCCTCATCAAGTCTAGTTTATCCATACCAAACTTCAGCTCAAAATTCGACCGGGAAGGCAGTCAAATAATTCGTTGAAGTTAACTGCGCCAAATTATACATAGAAAAACGCAGTTAACTTCAACGAATTATTTGACTGCCTTCCCGGTCGAATTTTGATCTGAAATTTGGTATGGATAAACTAGACTTGATGAGGAACATGCTCAAAAAATTTCATAAAAAAATTCCACCTGGAACCGCCCCAAACGACGGTGTTCAGACGGCGTTCGGACCGGGAGGTGCTGGACCTGAGAATTTTCCAATATATATATATATATATATATATATATATATATATAAATCACCGCAGGGGCACGGGCACCCCCTAGCCCTAGGGTGGGTCCGCCCCTGACGATCACTGGCAGTTGAACTACAATCTACTAAATCAACAGTTCATAGATATGTCAAGTTGAAGGAAACAAGGAGACATTCAAATGTTGTGAAGCCATTTTTAACTGAAAAAGGTAAACTAGTAAGAATCCAGTTCTGTTTAAACCATTTACTCAGTCATACAATTCCATCAAACCCCACATTTCATGATTTTTATGACTATGTGCATATAGATGAAAAATGGTTCAACTTAATTAAAGAAAATGAACATGTCTATATGCACCCGGAGGAATGTGACCCTTACAGGGCAGTTCAGAGTAAACGATTTATTCGTAAAGTGATGTTCTTAGCCGTAGTTGGGTGGCCTAGAATTGCTGAAAATGGAGAGATTTTGTGGGATGGGAAAATAAGGATTTTCCCCTTCACTTATAAAGATACTGCCAAGAGAAAAAGCAAAAACAGGGAAAAGGGAACTCTACTCACTAAGCTAATTGTGAGTATCAGTAGAGAAGTTGTGAAACAATTCATGCTTTAAAAGGTTTTGCCAGCCATCAAGCAAAAATGGCCAGAAGGAAACAGGAAAATAATCATACAACAACATAATGCGAAACCGCATATTGATTGTGAAGACAGTGAATTTGTAGCTGCTGCAACAGAGAATGGCTGGGATATTAAATTGACTTGTCAGCCACCAAATAGCCCAGATTTAAATTGGCTTACGAGTCCGTAAGGCCACCGCCGTTCTTGGCAAGACCCTGGCCGAAGTACATGAAAGGCATCAAACCATCTTCTGATCCACCAAGAAAACCGTCGCTCATCGAGAACCGCCGCCTGTGAAGCTGGTGGTGCGGGTCAGGGCTTTCCTCGTACGGGAAAATAAGTGAATCGCTCTTGTTCACTGTTGAAGGAGGCCGTAGGAGGGTTTGTAGAACCGTTAACCATGGAGGCGTAGGAGGGGTGGTCTCTGGAAAACGCAGGAGAAGAAGGGAAGCCATTGTTGTTGGGAATCGTGATTCTGGGGGCGAGTGGGTGAGAGGGAAAGGGTTTATGATTTTGCTTCCATTTTCTTGAGAGGAGAGGCCGACAGAATGAGATGGGAGAGGTGAGGGTGTGGTGGGTGGGAATAAGTGGGTAAAGGGTAAAAATGTATTTTTCATTTCATTGGTTAGTCTAAAATAGAAAGTGTCAGATCTTTTTGGAACGGCCAAAAAAAGAAATTTGGCCAATTTTCTAAATTATATCTATAATAGACTTCTATGGATTACAATTAATATTTCCTTCGTCTCTTAAAACTTTGTTCACTTTTCTTTTTTTGTTATCCGACTAACTTTGCCAATTTTCATTTGAAGTAAAGAATTTGTGATTTCGGTTAGTTCTCTTTCCTCTCCACAAACCTCAACCACAATCACATCATTTTTAGTTTATAAATTAATCTTTGTGTCGATCAAACTTGATCATTTTTTTTTGTCAAAAAAATAACCCATGCTGACAATATGCGCCACCTAAGCTTATTATGGATATTGTTAAAGTATTTGTCCCACACCGGAAAGCTATAAAAAAATAAAACACTATATAAGGCTTTGGGCTACTCCTCCTATAAGGTTGACCTTTTAAGATGAAACCTCGGGTCTTAACATGGTATTAGAGTCAATTTCGGTTGTGGTTTAACTGCTTGTTTCGCACCCATGATCACGGGTAGCTTTGTTAAGGGTCTGTTTGGCCCATTTATACACCCCGATATCGTCCTGTCCAGTTCGGACTGAGAGGGCATTTTAAAGTATTTATCCCACACCGGAAAGTTATAAGATAATAAAACACTATATAAGACTTTGGGCTCCTCCTCCTATAAGGTTGACCTTTTAGGATGGAACCATGGGTGCTAACACACACACACACACACACACATATATGTATATATATATACATATATATTTATTTATATATATACATATATATATATGTATGTATATATATATATATATGTATATAAATATATATATGTATATATATATATATATATGTATATAAATATATATATATATGTATATAAATATATATATATATATGTATATACATATATATATATATGTATATACATATATATATATATATATATATATAGATATAGATATATATATACATATCTATATATATATACATATGTATATTTATATACATATGTATATTTATATACATATGTATATTTATATATATATACATATATATATACATATATATATATATATATACATATATACATATATACATATATATACATATATATATATATACATATATATATATACATATATACATATATATATATACATACATATATATATATACATACATATATATATATATACATACATATATATACATACATATATATATATATAGGTATTGGTTCAAATAAGAACATGATCTTAGGAGAGAAATTAGAATGAATATGTACCGTTAGATTTGCTTTAAGTGAAATATCATGTGCATTAGATGAAACTGTAATGTGCATTAGGTGAAATTGAAATGTGCAGTACAAAGGCTACGATACAGTGGCATTATGTGAAGTTGAATTGTGCGTTAAATGAAATTGAAATGTGCACTAGCTGAAACTGAAATGTGCAGAATAAAATATACGATGTAATGTTATTTTTGTACCTTTTATTCCGCACATTTCAGTTTCACCTAATGCACACTTGAGTTTAATTTAAATTTTTATTCTGCACATTTCAATATTATCTGATGCACATTTCAGTTTCACCAAATGCACAATTCAATTCCACATAATATAATCCAATGGTCCAAATTCATTCTCATTTCTCTCCTGAGAGTCTGTTCTTACCGGAACCGCTTCAAGTGTGGGGGTGTTTGATAGGCACTAGTTATTAGGGCCTAAGTATACATTTTTATTATTATTTGTAATGTTTATTTATTAGTTTTGTGCAAGTTTGTAGTTGTTAGTTTGCATTTGATTGTAATCGTATACTTAAATATTAATTTTATCCCTTCTTATAGTTTGCAAGTTTGTAGTTGTTAGTTTTGTGCAACTTTGTATTGTTAGTATCCCTTCTTTCATATACTTAAGCATAATTTAGAATATTATTTTCTTTATATTTTTCTAGCCTGTTTAGTCTCCAAATGAGGAGCTAAACTTCCATTTCTTGGTTTTGCTCTTGAAGCTTGTTGATTATTAAAGTTGTGAGTTATTTTCTTAACTTCTCTCCTTGAATATTAATTTTTCCCTTAATCTATTTTTATATTAATGTTGGGGAGTGTTGCTAAGATGACAATTAGTCAACATCTCAATATTAATTATTACTAGAAACGATCAACGAACCGATGGTTAATCGTTGATGGTTTCACAAGTAAGTAACTTCGGTTTATAAATGCACGGTCGTGGTTAATAAACTTAAGAGGGATTAATTTTGTTGGTTAAACTGAAACTGTTGTGTTGAGGTTATCAATCTCAATTGATTTCATCAAGGAGTTAGAAAGATTAAATGCTACTACTAAATCAGTATAAGGCGTTGTTCTATATTTGATTAATAGTAAGAGTTATTAATAAACGGTCGTTGTTAATAACTACCCTTGATGAATTGGATATACTCCTCGATTGAGTATTTGAGAGGGGATAAGTTATAGATATAAGTCGTTCAACTTAGAGTTTAATTAAATTAAATCACTCAATCCCAAAAACCCCTTTTATTTACTAGTTTATAAAAAGAGAGTTATTCATTTCCCTGTAGATACGAACTCTACTACGCTAGTTTATAAGTGCTCGTCACAACACCTCAAATTGTATTCCAAAAAAAAAACACCTGGACTACCTATTTAACCTTTGAAGATTCTAAGTTTTTCGGTACACCTCATACGGAAACAAAACCTCTTCTCTGAAACAAAATCTTTTTCACTTTGCAATCGCTTAGAACCCTATAACCCCTGTGCGGTTTGAGCTTCAAGCCTTCAACACCCAAATCTACCACATGTTTGATAAGAGTAAGTGTTATGGACCTCACACGCTTGTTGAAAGCACATACTGAAATGAAATGAGAGCATTAGCCATCCTTTGTATAGAGGACAAGATTACTATAGAAAACAGAGAACAAGAAAAACTACTATTTTTCCCTACCTTACCCCAACCCCAACCCTACTCACTACCCCCACCTTTACCCCTAACCACCACCCTAACCCACCCACTACCCCACCCAATCCCGTATTCCAAGATTCTACCCCTACCCCTACCTCAGCCCCACCCTGATCCCGGCTCCACCCTACCGCCATCCTATCCTAACTCCCTACCCTACTCGTACCTTACCCCAACCCCAAGCCTACTCCCTACCCCCACCCTTACCCCTAACCACCACTCTAACCCACCCACTACCCCACCCAACCCCGTACCCCTAGACCTTACCACCCCACCCGACCATACCCCTTACCCACCAGGGCCGGTCATGACAAAATGGAGGTCATGTGCAACAAAACAAATTTGTCTTTCTCTTCCACACAAACAGATATTCCCTTTGCCACATAAAATTCTTCTTGGTTTGACTTGGATCGAAGTTGAATAAAGTAAGAATAAAGTGGAAATGTATGGTTGTGTTTAAGTAAAAAAAATGTAGATGAATGTTAGCCACACAAAACTTTTCAAAAAAAAAGGAATGAGAATAATTTTTTGGGAAATCCCAAAATGGTAAATAAGAATAATTTTATGTGATGGAGGGGATATGAAATATAAATAAAGATGATAATATTGACAAAATTCAATCAGATTGTTAAACATAATTACTTCTAATACATAATTAAATAAAGTTATTGGGACTGAGGAATTGGGATGGGACGATCTAATACTTTTGAACACAGGTTGATTCTTCCTTTCTCAATCTTTTTTGCACATGGGCTGGCTAATACTATTACAGAGCAATGTTCTAAAAAGCGTAAGCTCAGGCGAGGCGTAAGCGCGAAAAGATATTCTACTTTTTAGTCATTGTTTTAATTTTCCTACCTTCATCAATAAGAATATTTCAGTATTGCATAATACGGAGTATTACACAAGAACACCATTTTAATTTTCATAGTGCCATTAATACGAAACACTATTATTTAGTACTCCATAATATTTGGTAGAATAATTGTTGTAGGCTAATTTAGTTCACACTCCTAAAGAGCTAAATGTTTATTTAGGAAAAAATGTGCTAAAGGCATTTTATGCAAATGCTTAGTGTGTATCTATCCTTCAATCAGTTTTCCATAATTTAGTATATTCTGCTCATTCAAACGCTTCAGCCACAACTTCATCAATTGTAGTTGGTTCATCTGATTTAACAAATTTCAATGTTATCAAATGAACTCTTAATTTTATTATAGTACTCCCTCCGTCTCAAAACTAACTTCTCACTTTCCTTTTTGGGTAGTCCCGAAATTAATTTCACACTTCCTTATTAAGCAAATTCTCTACATCCAGACAGTGTCAAACAGTAAAATTTACCCCCAGTAAGTTTATTTCATTATTATGTGCGAAAATGAAGTGTGAAGTTGTTTACGGGATGGAGGGAGTAATAAGTACTTCGTATCATAACACTCTTTAAAAATGTATCATGACACGTCCGGGGATACAAATACATTAACATAGAATAGTGATCGGTGAACCCGCAATCGGGGACATCTAATAAAATTGAAACGATATAGAGAAGATTAACATGACGTCAACGCAAAAGGATAGATCAAAATAAATAAAAAATAAAAGGAAGATAAAGGAAGATAATTGAAAATAATTGGTGAAATTCAACGACATAAAGAAGATTAGCATGACCCATGTGCAAAAAGATTGATCAAAATCAATAAATAAAGGAAGATAATTGAAATAATTGGTGAAAATAATAAGAATACTCCTTACTTTATGCGATTTTACAATAATAATCTCTATTCAATGTGTTCATAAAAATAATCTGAACTAGCAATGGTGTTCATAATAATAAATTGGGGTGAATTCAAATTAATTCTCATTTAATACTCTCAATCGTTACTCCTACTTTTCTCTTCCCCACTCGTCATTTCAGGGCAAATTGAAACTAAAACTCGTTTAATATCAACACCATTTTTGTCATGTGTGATCCTCTCTAGGTTGGAACAAAAAATTATTACCCAAGGCAGTTAGTGGTGGATGAAAAAGTGGAGGTAGGGCCGGGGTTGGGAAGTGCGTACATATTAAATGAACATTAGTTTCAATTCTTTTCAATTCATTCTTGTGGACGTTGTTGCTAGTACGTATTATTTTTATGAACACACTCAGTATGAATTATTATTATAGAATCCATGAAAGTAGAGATTATTATTGTGAATTTCGTCAAAAAAAATTGTCTAAGAGGACAAAAAATAGAGAACGGAAATCGAGAGATTAACGACACCGCTGCAAACAGAAAGAGAGGGAAAGAGATGAATTGAAGCATATTTCGTAGAGTTTTGATAGAGGTACCTCAAAATGTACCTCATTTTTACCCCACCCATGTGGCAATAAATGGGTCAATTCATTTAAGTGGTGCCCCACTTATATGAATTGCCCAATTTATGGCCACACATTAGAGGGTGAGGGTAAAAATGTGGTACATTTTGGGGTACCTTTAACATTTGTGTACTTCATATATATCACGAGAAATAGTGATGGACCCGGGCCGGTCCGGTTCCGGTTTCGGGACGGGCCCGGACGGGCTTTTTTTGCAATTACTTGGGCCCGAAACCGGCCCGAGTTGATACCGGGTCTGGGCCTAACCGAGCCGAGTCGGGCCGGGCCCGGTTCCATGTTTAATTTTTTTTTTGCCTTTCTTGTTATCCCCCGACCCCCCCCCCCTCACCCCCTACCACCCAAACCTCCCCAAAACACCCAGCCCTACCCTAGGAAAAGAAAAAAAATTGAAAAAACAAAAAAAAAAATTGAACCGAGCCCGGCCCGAACCGCCCGGGCCGGTTCAACAAAAGTTGGGCCCGAGCCCGGCCCGCCTGACCCGCCCAAACGGGCTAAAAGCCCAGAACCGGCCAACCGGTCCCGGTCCGATCCGGGCCCACACAGTAGCGGGCCAGGCCGGTTCCGGTCCGGGCCGACCCGGTTTAGTCCATCCTTAACGAGAAATGAGAAACATAGAGTGAGATAGAGCAGTGATTAAAAAGGTGGTGTGCACTGTGCAGTTCAGTGAATATAAAACGTGTATTCCAATTTCCAATATTTTACTTTTATTAGAGACAATTTCATTTTTATTATTGACATAAGAAGCAAATGGGAAGTAAATGGAAAGATTATGTGTGCTAGCTTCAATTGGTGGGAAAAAAAAGATGATGGAAATAAAATGGTCTAAAAGTGCACTCTAAGACCTTATCTAACCGACTAATTTGACAGATATCGAAAATGAAGAGGAAGGCGGACTATAATACTTACTTTTGGACTATATATATGTGTGTCCAACAAGTTAACACTAATTGTATGTTGCTCTTTTTCAAGGATTACATACATATTGTGGATGTGATCAAGAGTATGTATATACATAAGGTGATATTAGAACCCTATGATCAATGATTAGAATCGCACAAACATATGATGTACTACGTAATTAATTGTAATTGGCTGTGGAGCGATCTTTATTTTGTTAAGCCGCTACCGTAATAATTAAAAAATACGCAACAATTAGCCATCTTAATTGACGTGCGGAACAATTATCCCCGCCACTCGGAACGCTTGCTTTTCTTGTTACTTTTGTTGTTGCTGGAGGAATACTCGCTGCTTTAGCTGCTATCTCACACACTCCAAAAGTCATATTGTGCTGCATACACACAACTTAAATACTTATTGAAATAGTTAACAAATTGATTAACCATTGGGTTACAAGATTATTATTATTAGCCTTAAAGAAAAGCTCATGTCGTATTAAAAATCGCAACAAATAGGAGTAGGATATCAATGTTGTGCACCAATAGGATTATCCTCGTTTTATTATAGAAAAAGAACTAAGTAGAAAAAATGAATAAATCTTCGTTTGATAATGCTTAAATTAGCTGAATCTAGTGACATTTATGAAATTATAACTCAAAATCTAGTGACATTCGATTGACTTTCACATCTGCCAACACACCATCTTGACTATAATTATATTTAATTATGTATTAGTAAACATCATAAAAGGTTGATATTTTGGAAATTCACTTTGATAGGAATTCAATAACATTTTATACGTAATAATTTGATTATGTATATTATTATAAAATCATGATCAAAGTAAGGTCTGTGAATAGTGCAAAAATCATAATGTTGCAAGAATTAAAGAACGAAAGAAGTATATATTTATAGTAGTCGTCTTAAGAGAATGCGGAAAACCAACAAGAAAAGTAGCTGGGGTATAAAACGGATAAACAAATTGTATTTTATTTTAAAATGGCTGATAAGACGGATAAACAACAAAACGGGTCTGACGAAATGGGCTTTAATTAAAAATAGAACATATTTCATCTCTTAGACTCTTACCAATGAATGATTACAATATTAAAGAAAAACTATGAATGAATTTCACTTTTAGTTCTATGAGTTATATTTCAATTTCACATTTAGTCCACGTGTTTCACTGTGTCTACTTTTGGTACTTAACTAATGTTTCTTATTCATTTGTGGTCGTTTTTCTGTGATTTTAACCCCAGAAACATTGACGGAATGACCATATATGTGTGACTATACATTAGTTGTGTATCAAAAGTGATTAAATTCAAAGATGTGGATTAATTATAGAATTGGTGTGATACTGCTAGGAGCAAAAGTGAAATTTACTTTGTGATAGGCTTTTTAAAATGTATATGGAATGTCCTTTTACCCGGCAAGAATCAAGATTAGCACAACCACAGAGAAGTTGAGCATTAGCATAATCGACCGCTTCTGGAGCTCCTCCTCCATTACTCCTCTGCACAAATCAGCACTCCCAAAAAACATTCAATTAATTCAGTGGACGGATAATATTAGTTAAAGAACAAATCCAATCATCATTTACTTGGGAAAAGAGTCTGGTAGGTCCTCCAACTTACCAGATTGGTTTCGGTCATCTCCATTTGAGGCAGTTTTCGGTGGAAGTTTTTTATGAAAATTCCACCGGAAAACGCCCCAAATAGCGACGGCCGGACAGAGCCTCCTGTATAAGGCCTTATTTGACCTTTTTATGTAACTTCACGGAACTATCTAACCTTTTTTCTTTACTTAATACTGCGTACCTTGTAAAAATCAACGGCTATAAAATTTGGCCATCTTTTACCAGAAGCTTCAAAACATGTATTCACCATGTTCTTCAATGGCCCCGAGTTATGCTTACAAGCTATTGCCAAATCCGGGTTACTTGGAAAGTAGTTCATGAGGACCATTGACCTTGACCGGGTGTTCATGGCCATCGATTCACTGCGATTTGGACACGAACCATTCTTCATCCCTCCATCTCCATCTGAACGTTTTTTTACAAACGTAATTGGAACAATTGTATACATGTTTTATATGGTCATTTTGTATGTGTGCGCAAGCCATGTGTCTATGTACCATTATGTCTATGATGATTATGTCTTTCTTTTGATCCCAATCATGTAAAATGTTTCATTAGATCAGTGTTTTCAATTCTATATATACATCTACTTCCCACCGTTGTCTAGAGATGCTATTTTCGGTGGCGATGTATCGCTCACCAGATTTATATTTAACGCCATCATAGGTCGGATGTTCTTGAGTGCTAGGTTTGTATTGACTTCTTTATCGATCATGAATCAAGATTTCTTCTGTATCAATATAGACGTCGATCGCCCCCCCTCCTGAACCACCGTCGATCCAAGAAGGGAGTGAATGGATTATTTTCTTTCCGGTGGTTGGTGATACAAGAATAATTTCTGCACTTGGTTCCTTACCGGTGGCTAGAAAACCGGCAAGTTTAATAACTCTTTTTCGGTGGCTGGTGAAACTAGACCCATTTCGAGTAGCACGAGCAGTCAAACTGCAGGACGAGTCTACATAGTTGCGGGGACAGCGGACATGATAGCTTTTATATGGCTTTAGTGTAGCATTGAATGTTGTGATTGTAATGCTTCGGCTTTTGATTGTTATGTTTCTTGTTACCCTTATCAATAATAATTAAGTTATTTTCTTTCAAAAAAAATTACATTGATTTCGGAACTTAAATAGATCAAATAGAATTTTGACAATTGTAAAATACACATATACTAGTAAAAGACATCTACTATAGCCAACTTACGCATATATACCAGATTAAATGAGACCGGATCAAATCAAAAAATTTCAAATCGATTAAAAACATCTTTAGGATGTACTCCTAAACAGATGATGGATAGAATGGATAACGAAGGTAGGGTTGATGTATGAAAGTACACTCGATTCATTGATTCAAACTTAACCTGATCCATTATCACCTCTAGTGTCGTCTAACTGATAACATCTTATACGAAACTAGCTTATAATCTTAAGTTAGAATGTTTTTAATTGGGTCCAAAATTCTAAATCTACCCTGATTTTGTTTGTTTAAGTCCAATTTGGTCTAATCTGGTCTGCTTTTAGACCGAAACCAATCCAATTAAAACAAGATTTGTATCTATACATTTCAGAGCGTGGCTTTAATTTAGAGTTATTATTAGCATACTAGGGGGTGTTTGTAATTGATTTTGCTTATGCTTCTTTTTTAAAAGCAGAATCTGTTTTTTCAGAAGTTGGTCTCCCCCAACTTCTAAAAAACTGTTTCTATGAGTAATTTGGGGCATGAGGGCATCCAGAAGTACTTCTGCATCTTCATCTAAACGCTACAATATATGCTTCTGCTCTTTGAAGGAGAATAAACAGTTTTTAGAAGTAAATTTATACACTTCTAGGTGTCTTCATGTTTGGTAAAAGTTGAGTAAGAAACTCACATTGGTTTTCCACCATGTACCTCCATTGGTAAGCGATTCCTTCTGAAGATTCTTTAGCAGATTTAGAAGTGAAGACTACCAAGCGCTGATTCTGTCGAGCCATGTCATCGACGGTAGGCCAATCGGAGGCGCCATTTTTTGGCATTCGAGAGACGGGAAACCAGAACTTTCTCAGGCCCGCGGAGTTGAAAACTTTTGTTAGCCCATTGGGAGATGTAACATAATCCTCGATGATGATGGTCACTATCTCCTCTGGGTTGGCTTCCAGAAATGCTCGAACCTCATTGAGCACGTTGACGGCCGGCTGGAAAGCGGTGAAGTTGTAGCAGTTCCCTCCAAAGGAGTGGCACAACCAAATGTTATTGTTGAAGTCATACATATCAAGCATTAAACCCCTCACGCCATTCTGCAAAAACGTTTTCATCTTTAGGAAGACATATTAATGAGTTTTAGTCTTTTAGAAAGCCCTATTTTGAAAAACCATAACCATAATTACCCGTTTTTATCCGGACACGCATAATATACCATCGATTTTGAATGGGAGGACACTAGCCGGTACGATTCTCCAAAACAATTGCATCCGCAACCACCATAAATTGCACTTTTTGTCCTTCAATTAGTCATGATATTGAAACGTGTGACATGTGTTTCTCAGATAGTAAATGTCACCCTGATGACTTTATTGGTAGTCTAAAATAGGAGATGGATTATAAACGACAGGGATGCCATTTACAACACATTTGTTAATTCGGGGATAACATTTACAATCTAACAAACGCATGTCTCACATTTCAATTTATTGAAAGTCAAAAACTGCAATTTTCTCAATTTGCAATTTTCGCACGTAACTTTCTGTCATTTTCATTATTAGTCTCGCAACTTTAGTCACTTACAAATTTGGTCTTATAACTAATTAATATTTGTGATTGAAGGTCTTTCCCCCAAAAATTACACTCTTCGGCGATAGTATAACGGAAAGATGTCGTTGGCGTCGAATTTTTCTGTCGGAAAGTGCACTTTCCGGTGGAAAAGTTCTTAAATTGCAAAGATTTATTAGTTAAAAGATCAATTTTGCTAGTGATTAAAGTTACAGGACCATAACTATAACAGTCAAAAGTTACGAGATTAAAATTGCAAATTCCCCTAGTAATAATAAATAAGACCTATGAAAATTTTGCCTCTTTTATATGGAGTATCATAATTAAGTTCTCATTTTCATTTTTGAAATGACCATGAGTTAAGCTTCATTTCCTTATTAGTATCCATCGATCTCATTTCATAAGATAAGCCTTTTTTAGTTGTCCACAATATATGAACGTTTTTCTAAATTAAATTTCAATAACTTTTTAATTTGTCATTTGATCTCTTTATCCTTCAGTTCGCCATTTAGTTTTTGTGCAATCTTACTTTTCTTACCTTTTGAAAGCTAAAATACTCTTTTCCCATAATAAAAAGTACATAATTAATTTTTAATTTTTGTATCATACTTTTGCTGAAGGACATACGAAAGAAATTAATTAAAATTCTTAAAAGTTCATGAATTTGATCTAGGCACGGAATAGATAGAATATACTCCCTCCGATTCCTAAACAAGTTCCACATTTGACTTCACACATATTAAGAAAATAAAATTGACTTTACTGTGGAGTGCACTGTTTGACACTGTTTGAACACTGTTTGGCACTGTTTGAACACTGTTTGACACTGTTTTGATATAGATAATAACGAAATGTTTGAAAGTGGAATTTAATTTTGAATATGCCCGAAAAGGAAACGTGAAACTTGTTTCAGAAACGGAGGGAGTAAGTTAGTAATTGCATGTAAAAGTGTATAACCATACTATTTGAAGATAATAAAGTAATTTACTTTAAGCTCAACAATGAGATACATACTTGGAGTTGTTCCGTGATAGAATCTTGCTGGTTCGTCGGAGTAAGCAAGACGTCCCCGGTGCCGGACCTTACACCAAATTTAGCAAACGAATTGTGGGTTGTCAACCATGAATACCGGTTAAATGGCAATCCTTTCACCTTCATATATAATCATATATATAATTAATTAAGTTGTTATTTCCCATTCATCTATACTATATAAATTAATTACTCTATTTCAAATTACATGTATTCATTTCAATCCATTTGCATTTTGACTACGAGTATATGGGATCTTTCAGAGAAAAAAAATGTCCTAACTTACAAATTATTAGTACACTTGTATATTGAACATTTGTAATATACTAATAGAAGTTTGCCTAGTTGCAAAAGGGACACTCCAAGCTAAGCTATAAATACTAGGAGTGCGCACGGTTGGTTAACCGCATTTCGGTTAACCAATCTTTGGTTAACCGTGCTTTCGGTTAGAATGTTTATAATATCATTAACCGTACCATAACATCGGTTAATCGTAGAACATTAAACCGTAATATAGGTTAACCATTAATTGGTTAACCGAAACACCATTTGCTCCTTCAATTTACGACCTTAAACTTATATGAGTATGAGTATTCGTTTCTTGTATGAAATTGGTTTCTATATTGAATATGAACTATGAAGCACATTGTGTTTCTAATAAAGGCAACATGAGTGTTTGGCACACGTGTATATGCTCTGTACCTTACATATGTGAGAGACAAGGATGTAAAATACGAGTAAATCATGAATGAGTTTGCATGGGAATGACAAGTGGGTGCAATTGCAGTGGTGTGTAATAATGCAATAATAAGAATAATACAAATGTATACGTATATCCTAATTATACGACATACTGAGTATAAAACTCAGTACACTAAATGTTTCCAGTACGAGATAATACACACGCAACATGTTTACTGTGACATGTGTTTACTAGTAATAATATGTTAACGGTGGATTACTGGTTAACCGATGGTAGAAATATTTCAAAACCGTAACCATCCCATGTACCGCTTTCTCTTTCGGTTGGTTAATCGTACTGCAAAATTTTCTAAAACACGGTACGGTTAACCGAGAAAACACCGGTTTTACGGTATTTTAGTACGGTTAATCGGTTACGGATATTTATGCCCACCCCTAGTAAATACCACAACAAGCTAAGTCATCTTAACTACAAAACAATAAACAAATTGTCCAACAAGAAGGATCACATATGTGATGTTGCATGCCAAAAGGGAAGCAAAAATCAGCCAATTAGTCTTTGCAATGTTAATTTTAAGGTTATTATTTACTAAGCTTCTCACTTCCTGTTTGAACCATCACATGCGGGGTTCGGTCCACCGCACTTAATCCAGCTTTGTCCTTGGGCGACACATCACTGACAATATTATTATCATCGAGAATGTCATCCACTCCTTAGAAAATGATTGGGGAAGAATACAGTGCATGGCTCTAAAAATTCAAAAAAGATATTTGTACACACTCTTATACACACTTTTGTACACATCTATGTCTGTGAAAGTTTTTTTTTTGTCTGTGAACATTGATTCACAGACAATGCTTTGCACAAACAAAATATTGTCTGTGAACCGGATTCACAGACAAAAAAAGCTTCACAAACATGGTGTGTATAAAGTGTGTACACGGGTGTGTACATCAAGAATGGTTGCTAAAAATTTGATCTTGCTAAGGCATATGACTGCATGCGCTGGGATTTCTTGATTGAAACTATATCCTCCACGGGTATCACGACATATATTATCTCTCTTATCATGACTTGTGATTCTAATACTAATTGGTTTCAGGTCGCACACAAGGGTGCTTGAAAATTATGGCATTTGGGAAATTTCTCTAAATATGAGTAAAAACGTTTAATTTGTGTATTCCAAAATAGGATTGTCATTTTTGCATTATCTAAATAAAAGTAATTACTATCATGTTTTGACAATACTAGTCTTTAAATATGATAGTATTTTCCAAGTTTGGCAATAATTAACAAATTACTCATATTTATGAAATAAAAACATAACAGTCATTTGGAATTTTCAAACATTTTTACTCCTATTTTGATAATTTTCTCATGACATTTATATACCTACACGTTATAGGGTTGCTCGTCGGTTCGGTTTTGTCAGTTTCAATAATATCGGTATGATTTTTAGCCGGTCGATTTTGGAAATGGTGAAACCGAGAAGTGGACAGCACACAACTTTAGTTTGTTTCCATCAATTTGTATTAATTTTGGTCGGTTTCCGCCGTGTTATATTAGTTTTAGTCATTTTTTGCACGTTGTGATAGGTTTTTGTCAATCAGTTATAGGATGTTTTTACTTGGACTGTAATTCGTCCCAGACTAGACCAGACCAGACCAGACCAGACTTGGATAGTTATAAAAATACAAAGAAATCAGACCAGGCCAGTACAGACCAGACCAGACCAGACCAGCAAATTACGATCCAAGTAAAAACATCCTTAGTTCGATCATTCTTTAACTCAATAATATAAATCATAAACCGGAACGCTGATGGGTTAGTGAGGTTTAAGTGTTTAACCAGTTTTGGTTTCATTCGGTTTTGGTCGTGTGGATCGTTTTGATTTTTCCGGTTTTTGTTTCCTAAGACTTTATATGTGCACGCTTAAATAAAGTGCACGCTAAAAAAACATTTGGCAGATAACTAAACGGCTAAACCTATTAGAGACAATTGCACATTCCAAGATCACTTCGCACAAACATTTATGTTGGAATTGGATAAAAACCAATGTTGGTGACAAATATCTTTGTCTATACTACCTCCGTCCCTTAAAACTTTGCCAAAATTGACCGGCACGGAGAATAATAAAGTAAAAACTGTGTGGTTGAGGTTTGTGCAGAGGAGAGAGAAATAACAGAAACCACAAAATAATTGATTAAAAGGGAAAGTGCAAAGTTTTTTGGGACATCCCAAAAAGGAAAGATGGCGAAGTTTTAAGGGACGGAGGGAGTATATGACTGGCATTTATCTGGCGTGTCGCGACGTTTCATGTCTATGTATACCCGAACCACATTTGGTTAAGGAAAGTTCCGAAATAGGACTAAAACACTTTGAAAATTCTAAAATAGGATTGTCATGTTTTTTATTCCCAAAATAGGACTAATTATTGGTATGTTTAGAAAATACAGCCATGTTTGAAGTCCGGTACTGCCAAAACATGACAGTAATTAGTCCTGTTATTCGAATAAAAACATGACATTTCCATTTTAGAATTTTCAAACTTGTTTAGTCCTAGGGTAATATTCTCGATTTTTTATTATTATGTAGAGAAAAATTCCTTTTATAGATCTAAAACATAAATAAAGTGCACATATAAGACTTTTATTGTTTTTTCTTAAAATAGGAGTCATAATAAAGAAAGCTTAATACTTTTAATATAGAATCAAATAAGTCTTATTTCAGGAATAAAATACATGTAATCCTATTTAGACATTTTGTTCAAGTTTTAGTCCTATTTAGAGCACTTTTTAATATTATGTTCAACCTTTGGACCAAAATTGATCATCTATACAATTAAACTATCTTAGCTATGGCATAGCTAGAAGCAAACGTTGGAGTGATTCAGTGAACTATATACTAGTATAAAACAATTGAGAAAAAAAAATCACACGAATTTTTACACATAAAATACAAATGTTTTTCGAATTTTAGGTGTATCGGGCTGGGGCCTATCTCGGCCCTATCTCACACGATTTTTTTTTTTTTTAATTACCTTGGAGAAAGGATTGAGGGGGCGAATGCGAGTACAGTGAGGGATGAGCAAGCTGCCGTCAGCAATGCATGTCTCGCAGTGGAGCCCAGAGTCGCACATGTTGTTGGATATGCATCTCCCACCTTCCTGCACCCACGCACAATTTATTTATTTATAATTGATTAAGTAGTGTTCCTTAGCTTCACGTTACGTTACAGCCACATTATTGGAATTGCGTAACTTATCCATTATTTGTTTGTAACATATTATTATGGGTATAGTTACACATAATAATCTACGTATAATTAGTTACACATAATTACTATGAGTATAGTTACACAAAGATCTTCTCATTTTGACTTTTCAGTTGAACTTTGACTCTAAATATCTACGTATCTATATTTATAAAATTCATAATAAATTAACATTCAAATAATATGTTTTACAATGAGGTATATGAAATAAATTTTTATTCAAAACATAATATGAATTTTGAATAATTAATGGTCAAAGTTTATAAAATTTGATCCAAAAGAGTCAAACTGAAAAGATTCTAGAGTTACGTAGGTAGTATTTGGATTTGATTTTCAAACCTACTTCTAGTATTGAAGAGAGTATGAGGTATTGAAGCCTGATAAAAGCGCTTCAAATACCTCTTGGCAACATCTTTTCAAAAGTTGTGAGCAAAAAAAGATTTCTGAAAAACTAATTTTGAAATAGAAGTAGAATCAATTTTAAAGATAACCGCCGAAAACCGGCGTCCATCGGGCTGGTTAACAGCAGCCATACACACAGTACGTTGTTGTTCTAGCCGGAGTACATATATATATATATATATATATATATATATATATATATATATATATATATATATATATATATATATATATATATATATATATATATATATATATATATATATATATATATATATATATGTTGTAAGTAGGTACCTTGAGCGCCGCACCGCCGTGAAAGGCCAATAGAATGGCGGCGAGGAAGAGGGATGTGGCCACTACCTGTTGGTCCATCATGCTGCTAGCTCAAGCGAGCAATAATATAAAGATTCAAACGATCGAGCCGGGGCTGAGCTCCCTGGGCTGGAGAAGGTGAAGTGTTGGGTGGGTCGATGTATAAATGTATAGTCAGATGAGAGAGCAGTGCAGGCGATATGATATTAATTCTGGACTCGGCTCAGCTTATAAATTAGGTGACAACTGCAAAAAATGGGTACCGTACCTATCATTCACTTGATTCATCTATATCATTATATCATTTTTAGTTTATATTTAAATAATTCAACTGCAACATTCTAATTGGTTCATGTCGACAAAGGTATGGTACCTATAAATTAAAGAGTGATAACATAGAATCTACCTATAAATTAAAAATTAAAGAGTGATAGGTCTTGAAAATTAAGTTGAGAGTGACAATAAATAAATGGGGTTGGCAATTTATAGATGGAGTTGCCGAAACTTACATTCACTTCAACCGCACCAAACTATGTTCTCATCATTATTTATTTCTAATTCATACTGCTGGTAGTATTTTTTTATGGACATTCAAATACCTTGTTTTAAACAAATGAATCGGACTTAAGAGCTTGTACAAATTAGCTCCATAATTAGCTGTAGACAATAATACATATATACTCCGTACGTATAGATTTAAACTTGGTCCAAGAAGTGGAATCTCTCACCCCAGGAGCCCCACCCCGACCCGACAGGATTATGTGGAGGTTAACCACGGGTGACTCGATCAGCAAAGCGGCGGTAGGCCTTATACACGTGCGCACCAGAGGTTCAGTCTTATTTCAGGTTCTGTAACCTTCACACGGTTCAGCCTTATACAAATGCGTAATGTACAATAAAAATAGTCGTAATCAAGATGTGTATCCATAATATTCATTTGATGTTATTTATAATTTTGTTATATATATTACTTTAAATCAAACTTATAAGAATTTTGAAACAGTTACGTTAAATAACGAAAGTTGGTAAATTTTATAGAAATTGCTCTAAATAGGAGCAAAAACGTTTTGAAATTCCAAAATAGGAATATCATGTTTTTTATTCCCTGAATAGGAGTAATCTGCCAAATTTGGAAAAAAATGACATGTTGTAAAGCCTAGTAATGTCAAACTTGGCAGAAATTTACTCCTATTCAAAGAATAAAAAACATGATAGTCCTATTTTGGAATTTCAAAACTTTTTTAATCCTATTTTGGAAGTATTTTGTTATCTTGAGTTAATTATCAAAATAGGACTAAAAGTCATTCACTTTTCACAAATAGGACCAAAAAATAAACTATGTTTGCACAGGACTAATTATGTGTACCTTGGACAATTATACCCTTATAGCTATTAAAATGTTTTAATTCCTAATAAAATAATAAAAAATAATAAAAATTCGTAAAAAATACTAAAAAATTAAGAAAAACATTTCGATATTAAAAATTTAATTAATTTTGTTTTTCAAAAAATTAAAAAAATTTAAAAAATTAAAAAAAAAAATAAAAAAAAATAAAAACTCAAAAATAAAAAATCGTCGCCGCCTCTGCCGCCTCAGCACCACCACCTCCAGTCACCAGGGAAAAAAATGCCAAGTTCATTACGAATGCCATATTTATGGCAGAAAAAATGAAAATGTTGGCATTCGAAAAGAGAAATATGCCACTTTTTTGGCATTTTCAGAAAAAATGGCATTTTTCTGGGAAAATGGCATTTTTTTCATCGGCCGGAGGTGGTGGTGCTGGGAGGTATTACAGGCGGTGGGAAAGGCATCCATATTTTTTTAAATTTTTTTTACGGAGTTTTACTATTTTTTATGATTTTTTTTAAAAATAAAATTATTTTTTTACAAAAAGGTTTTTGAATTTTTTATTTTATAAAAATTTTATAAATTTTTTAATTATATTTCTACGAATTTTTGAATTTTTTCCGAATTTATTATGAATTAAACATTTAATTATGGCTTTTGACTCTTTTTAATTCATATTTAATGGAAGGGTAAGAATGGAATGCAAAAATAGGTATGTTTCCAATAGGACTCATATGGTCCTATTTTGGAATAAAAACATAGCAAGTCCTATTTTAGATTTTTGCCATAGTTTTAGTCCTATTTGAACTAATTTTTCATAGTACCATATATGTAGTGTACTATTGACCAATTCATCATCATAACAAAAAGTTTGCATGGTGATTATTTAATTTAATTACATCTCCATATTTTACTTAATGATAATTTATTATTATTGCATACAAGTATTAAAAAACAACTCAATTATGGTAACAACTCAACTTGTGACCAGTTTGTAAGGTGAGGGACGCTCTCTCTTATACACACATAAATATGTGTGTGTATGACTACTCCCTCCGTCCCTAATCTTTCTCCCTTTTCGGCTGGGCACATTTATTAAGATAGTGGGATTTGTGTGGTGGAGAGTTGTGCAGAGGAGAGAGAAATGTGTAAGAATGTGTAAGAATGGTTGTGAATCACAAATTTTTTGCTAAAAGAGGGAAGAGGAGATAATTTTGGGACGGACGAAAAAGGAAAGTTTGAAGATAATTTAGGGACGGAGGGAGTATGTTTTATTCAACAATTAGAACTAACTTACAAAACTCTTGTCTAGTATTTATTATATCGGAAAACTCAACAAAATAAAAATGTTAAAGAATGGAAGAATTAATCTTCAAGATAGTTTTAGTAAGTACAACATCAAAAAAAATTACTCATGTCTTCAATAAAGAGGCAACCCTGAATTAAGAAAGACAAAAGAAACGGGAAGAGGGGTGGAAGTCAAGATATAGATATATGCCTGAGGGGGAAACAAATGTATGGAGAAAGACCTTTTAGTCTACAATTGTATGGAACTAGTCTATCATGCTTTATCCAACAACCTACGTTTATTGGTTCACTATTTTGGTACTTCGGACTACAGGACGTGAATGTTTATCTATATATACACATTTTATTTCCATCCAAATTTTTTGTCCATATATTTTCTTCCCTAACATGCTCCGAATTCCAAATGGATAGGGAGCCACACCACAGGTTACCGGCCCGGTGAGAGGGAGCCACACCACATGTAACCGGCCCGGTGCTATCCATTGTCACGTGTTCGATGACCGTCTTGGAGCTGAGGATCGAAACTAAAGACCCAGTCGGGCTGGCCAGACCCTTTGATCGATACCAAATTCCTCAACCATTTTAGGTCACACTGCAACGTTAGCCATACAACACCTTCAACATTGCAAGAGGAGCCATTAAAAAAAATGGTCGGATTACAAAGGACAACCTGGGAATGGGGTTTTCGTACAATATACGTACAATCAAAGGTGTTATCGTGCGTTCTACGTACAAAGCAAGACAGGGGATATGTACTACTTTGATAATATATTCTATACATGAAATGTTTACACTATCTATCCAATTTATAGGTGTAGATGAGGGACGAGAGAAAGTTGCATCCAATCTTCCATTCTCATGACTAGGGAGGTTCTTAGTTATCTCCATACCTTCTACATTTTTATTCGTTGGAGAGCTTCTTCCAAGAAGGTTGATAGATAGTCTATACCGGGATACCGTTGATGGTATCTAGAGAGAAGGCACAACAATAACTGAGAGAGAGAGAGAGAGAGAGAGAGAGTGCAATAGTATCAAATGAACAGTAGTCCGTTACAACTGCCCAAGGGCCGCTACTTATACTAGTCATAAATGCTAGGTGCATAAAATGCACATACACGTGTAAGCTAATCTATGACGGAGAGCCTCCCGTGATGCGGGTGTTGACATGTGGCGTAACATTAAATGCGATGGTTGAACACTAAGGAGCATTGAACTGTGAGAAGTTTGTGCCAAGACCAGGTCCTTCGGCACCGAGGCCGAAGTCTGCATGACCAAAGGCTGGTGTGAGGAAGCGAATCTCCCAGTCTTGTCGTTGGACCAAAATGGGGTGATTTCCCTAAGTTTGAGGCCTTCAACCTTGGGGGAAATAACTTCATCTTCTAGAGGGGTGTCTTGAATCATAGTTCTTCTATTCAAGGATTGAACAATTTTATAATTTTGTTGAGGACACAAGCGCAAGTCATAGGTAAATTTGACATAAGTGAATGATAAAAGGTAAGTGGAGTAGATCTGCAATTCAACCACATGTCGATCCCTTAGATGGCGTTCTTAAGTGTTGTCGCTTGAACCTTGTTGCCAGTAACGGATCCTTAAAAAAATATTTGTCGGGGGCAAAATCTTCATACCTTTAAACTTTATTCTACACATATATAACTCAACTCATAGCTATTAGGAAAATGAAGAAATCAAATCATATCCGATTTAAGATAAACACAATAATGTGATAGCAAATACTTTACAAAATTTGTAATTTATTATTATATTATTCACATTCATTATGTGCTTTTGATCTTCTAACTATAAATGAACGATGACATTATTCCGTTGGACTTTTTTGGATTTAAGGAATAATGTTCAAATGATTGAATTCTTTATGAATAAGCAAAATTAAAAAGTAGAAAATTAATATTGATGTATATGCACTTTGTCAATTCAATTTTTAAATAAAATATTTGCATGAATATCAATTCGCGAGATGTGGAATCTTACGGTCATTTTTTATACATAATATGGAGTATGATATATTATATGGAATCATAATTAAATGATCACCGTCGTTGTTATTTAACCAAAATATGTTTATGTTTGACAATGAATAAAATATCTACAAAAACTTGTGCTCAATGATTGAATGATCACCAATTAATTAGAAACTTTATGTATATCTCTTTAGTTTTTTAGAATAATTTAGATTGTTGGTTGAATTAAACTAAATTTGTTATTACCTAAATTGAGCACACTAATTCTTATCATCTAAGTAGTATCTCCTTACAATATTATTGAGGGCAACATTAAATTTTAGTAGGGGGCAATCTACTTTTCACAAAAATAAAACACAAGAAAAACTAATGCAAAGGAAAGATTATTGGGGGCAAGCGCCCCCACTAATCAAATTAAAGGGTGCATCCACCCTGCTTGTTGCCCAGTAGTATTTTTGCCAATCGTGATCACTA